CATGGACCAAACCAAACTAGATTGGCTATTCTCATAAAATAGGTTTTCAAAAACAGAGAGAAAGAAAAGAAATAAAAAACTAATCGCAACACTAAACTTTCCACACTTTCACTTCATTCGATTATGATTCGACGTGAAAGGTACTCATCACTAGGTTTGGTTTTGGGGAGACACAAATGAGTGTCTACAGAAGCCCCCACTTTGACTGAGTTTGGAGAAACGCAAGTTTCGAAAACAAAAGTGAAAGTAGCGATAGGGACGAAGAATGATTCAGAACGTTCTGCGATCCTAAATCATTCTTCTAACGCCGATACCTGCAAACTAGCGTTAGTTAAAATAAATAAGAGAGTTAAGAAACGCGTATCTTGCACCGTCGACCACACGTCTCTGTAGGTTACCGATTTGTTGTTGTTACATTGCTGTTGTGACAACCTTCCACAAGCTAGGGAACGCCATCGAAGATAACTTCTCTTGAAATTACCTCCAGTTGTTTGTGACAACCCTCCATAATCTTAGGGAACGCCGTCGATCAATGCTGCTACCTCGAGCCTTTTTCTTGAATCATAATGACAACCTTCCCAATCATAGCAAAATTCGCCGAAGACCCTCTCATCACGAACCGCTCTTCTTAAATCTTGGTGACAACCTCCACAATCTTAGCGAATGCCGTCGAAGATCGCCCATCTCGTGCTATCTTCTCAAATCTTGGTGACAAACTCCACAATCTTAGCGAATGTTGTCGAAGACCGCCCATCTCGTGCTGTCTTCTCAAATCGAGTGATAACTCCCACAATCATAGCGGAATCTATCAAAGACCGCTTCATCTTGAATCGTTCTTTTCTTAAATTAAATAATAACCTCTTCAATCATAGTGAAAGCTATCGAAGGTCGCTTCATCTCAAACCGTCCTTCTCAAATCCAAGCGAGAGACCCTTTTCTTTAATCTTAAACCCCCCTGTTTAAAGCTTCGTCATCTTAAATCTTCAAATCAACCCTTCCATATTTGGAATTTTTTTTTTTTAAGAACCATATCTGTGATTCTTAAAGGCTTCAAATTTATTTGTGAAAATCTTCAATCCTAGGAGTTCTTTGTGAACCATTATGTCGGTGCTTTTAAATTGTGAACCATTGTGTCGGTGCCTTTACTATGAGCCAATGTTTAGGCGCTTTAAGCTAAGTGAGACGATCTTTTATCAGGTCGATCACTTTATGTGATTGTAATCAAGACGACTACTTAATCATGTCAAATTGCTTATAGTGTCTAACTGGCGTACCAAGGAACCCGAAATTGCTATAAAAGGTCCGCGTAATCCAATATGGGACCACGCATCTCTTCGCTGCACCGGCGCTTGCTGGAACTATCTGGCGCCGCGCTTTTCTTCTGTCGCTAGGCAACAGATGTTGGCGACAACCTTGTCGTCTGGCGCTGGAGTCGGGTCTTCCCTATTTTGCCCTTGATGTTGTTGTTCGTTGCTCAGTTTTGCTTTGAACTTTGAACTTGGTCGTTTCCTTTCAACCAAATCCACTCAAATCTTTTGTAAACTAAAGCTCTTAATCGCTAATTTACTATTCCAAGTAATTTTGCTTAAACTCCTCGCATCTTGGAAGAATCTCATGTATCATATTCGCGGTTTTTTGAAAAAAATCTGGGAATGTTCTTGCTTGCTCGGATGCACCTGCATTTATATTTTTGACTATAGGACTTTTCTCATCTTTTTAATTATCTTAGAGTTGACCTAAGGCTTAGTGTTGCTTGATTCATTGACTTGACACGACTCAAGGTATAAACCTGACTTAATGACGACTCACTCCGTGTGACTCGTGTGTGCATAGTGTTGACTCAATGTGATAACATGACTCAATGTTTACATGACTCGTGTGTGCATTGTAATATGCTCATGCGACTCGAAAATGCAAAAAAGCAAAAAATTTCTCATTTATGTGAAGGGTACCAACTTTCTCCCAAAAAAGAAGGACGCGAAAAAGAATCAAAGTGTTTGAGGGTGCATGTTGAATGAGGTTAGTCAAATTCCATTTGATACTATCACTCAAGGTGCAAGGATAATTCATCCTAGGCTATCTCAATTGTTGACTCCATGATGAAAGTATTTGGGTAACTTAGGCACGGAGGCTAAGCACTTCGTACTTTGTGATGCAATGATGATTGATCTTGATATGACAAGGCATGCTTCAGCGTTGTGTTAAGATTTTATGACAAAGGGTTCCTAAGGGAAGTATTTTTGGTCATGTATCTGCGCAGTGTGTGAAAGTGATACTAAAGTTAGGCCGCAAGGGCTAAGTGTGTGGAAAAAGATATTATTTCAAGAAGAGTCAAATGATGGTGACTCTTAGACTAGGTAAGCTAATGATGTAAGGAGGGGATATCATTATATAATCATAGTGTTAGTGTGAATGCATTTTTGTTACGGCAGCGCCTCGATGTGAGGTTGCCTACATATCGGTTAGGAATCAGGTCGAACGTAGCTCTAGCCGAACCTCGCACAGGTATGTGTATACCTCAAAGCGGTAGTTTGAGGGTTGTAATGTGGTTAGGCTAAAGGTTAGAAAAGAAAAAGATAAAGGCTCAAGACCCTAGATAAGCCCCCAAGGTGTGCAACCTTGCATTTGAATCTCTATATTTTTATGCTTGAGGCTTTTAACTCTTTTTTTTAGCTCTCTTTTCTCTTTTGCTTTAGCATTTATTTTATTTTTATAAGTGTGGGCAATTCTGATCATGCGGTCTATCACTCACTTGGCATTCATGTTTCTCAGGCACGGTACCTAGCACTCGATAAGAGATGCAATTTGAGACGTGTTCATATTAAAAACATGTTCATGTAAGACATTAGAACACTTGCCCTTTTGTACACTTCTATTTATTTTTTTTGCTTATTATTTTGCTATTTTAATCTTTTGAAGTCACTCAAACTTTTTATGAAATTGAAAATTGCATAAGTTGCACACAATCCCATCCCAAGGTTCGGTAGATGTGGGTTGAAAAGTGAAATATCTATCGTTAGACGAGGCTCAAAGTGGTTTATCAAGAAAGGATTGTATATTTGAAGGGTAAAATGTGATATGATGTGGCTACAAGGGGTGCCTCAAATCATTGGTACACCTTGTGCTTAGTTTGATATGGAAAAGAAATAATAATCCTACAAAATAAATCTAGGGGAAAAGTTAAAAAAAGGTTGGTGCTTATGCTAGACTTATTGGGGAAGGGATAAATAAAAGAATTAGAAAAGAGGAGGTCATAAAATCTCGTCGTTGAAGCTCGCCTCTGTCTTGTGTCGTTTGCTCTATCATCACTCGCTTTTCTTGCTAGCTGGAGGCATGGGAATCTTGTCATTATCGATCAAATGTTGGATAGCCTCCTTTAGCTTCCAACAGCTCTCAGTAGTATAACCCCTACCTTGATGATATTTGCAATGTGCATCTGGATTCCATCTAGGCAATCTCTTTTCAGGTGCGGGATCTTGAATAGGGCCAATGGGAGTAATAAGTCCCTTAGCATGGAGTTCATCGAAGGCAGTATCGTAGCTCATCCCAATGGGAGTGAAGTCTTTCCTTAGTTGCTTCTTAGATCCTTGGTTATCCATGGCTAAAATTTCACTGAGATCAATGGTACTAACATTGTTACTAGAGTGGGCGTTTTCAGAAGAAGAAGGATTGTCGTTCTTCTTTCCTTTCCAGCCACTGTGGTTACTATTGTTAGTAGCTTTTTACTTTGCGAGGTCATCTTCGATTTTGAAGCCTATGTCATAGGCGGCTTTAAAAGTATTCAAGTTGTATTGATATTTTAAGTGCTTTGAATACTTTTCTTGTAAAATTTTGATGAACATCCTCACAGATTCTTTTTCGGAGGGCATCTCAATCATCTTAGCGGAAGTTTCTCTCCATTTATCAAAGAAAGAGGTAAATCCTTCATTCTCTTTTTGTCTTAGCATCTCAAGTTGTCTATAATCGGTTTTGACTTGAATATTGCATTTATACCTATCAATGAAAGCGTTTACTATCGATTCCCAGGTAGAAGTTTTCTCTTTATCAAGAGAAAAGAACCATTGTTGACAAACGGTTTCAAGAGATAAAGAAAACAAGGAATGAAAGACTTTTCTATCAATCCCTTTAATGTTCATTATAGTTTCAAAGGCTCTCAAGTGAAGATAAGGATTATCTGTTTCCTTTAATTTAGGGATGTCAGTGGCATTGAACTTTTGTGGAAGAAGCTCCTTGTCCACCAAGACCCCTTGTGAACCAATGCCTTGAAATCGGTTCAAAGATGAGCTTGGTGGCTGCTTTGGCTGGTCACACTATGTGACCAACCACATATAAAAGTTAGTGTTAAAAAAAAAGTAACACCTCACACTCGTCTTAAACAAAAGAGATATACTCTGTACTTAATATTTTTTTTCCTCGTCCAAAAAAGAAAAAAAAAGAAAAAAAAAATTTCAATTCCAAAATCATTACGTTTGAAATTCTACATACTTCACACAAGTTCTTTAATCGTTGTAGTGGTCTATTTAGATCCATCATGTTCAAAATATTAATACTAGTATTTTATAATGTAACTTTTAGAATAGTATAATTGACGATATTAATGATATAAAACGTGCATTGATATATATATAAAAAAAAAAAAAAAAAAAAAAAAAAAATTGTGGTACTCCCCTATGTTTAAATAAGTGTTACACTTATTAAATCTAGTCGTGTTTTAATAAGTGTCACACTTTCGTTTTTGGCAAAATACTACATTTAAATATTATATCTCTCTCTCCTCTCATGATCCCTATCTAAACTTATTACTACCTTTTTATTACATCTTTATTCTTAAATTTATTACTTTTCAATAAACTATTAATTCCACTATCTTTCTTTTATAAATTTTTAATATTTCAAGTTAGAATACTACTCCACTTATCTCTTATTTTATTTAAGTCAAATAAATTTATCTTAAATCATGTATTAGTCAAATTGTAACACTTATTAAACACGGAGGGAATAATACCATAGGTCAACTAGACGACAGCTAATAAGGTAGTACCGCCGTTGTAGTCGACAAAACAAAATCTGTAATGTTGTATATGCAGAGTGAATTCGGTGTGCCGCACAACATGCATAATCCTAATATTCATAATCCATCATTTTTCACGTGTTTATTTTCCACATTCAATTTCCCAACCCCATCATCTTTTTTAAGCTGCGGCTCCTTTTATTATAAAATCTCTTCTCAACAACTATTAAGTCTCAAACTCCTGCTTTTCTCGCATCTTTATATAAATAAAGTTAATTTGCAACCGCCTTTCTTTTTTCAGTCCTCATTAAACTTGTCATATATTTCAACATTTATAAATCATAACTTATCATTTTTATTCAAACTCTTTCTCCCTCTTTTTTTTTTTTTTCCTTTCTCCATATAAATTGGATTGAAATTATTTATTAAATTAGAAACAAATTAAAAGATGGATTGTAATTTGGAGCTTGGTCTATCATCTTCTTCTACTACATTCTCCACGTATGTATCTTATCTTCTCCCTTTCTTTGTCTTTTACTTTAAATGGTTGTGTATAATTTATGTCATTGTGATTTATCTTAACAGGGGATCTAATGTTGATGATTCAAAGCGCGAACAATTGACCATATTCTATAATGGCACAATCTGCGTTTGTGATGTTACTGAAGCTCAGGTAATATTTTATATAATAATTCATTTTTGATATACCATTATACCCAGAAACTATATTTTAAAAAAAAAATAAAAAATCATGATCTGATTAAGGGATGAATAAAAAGTTATGAGTATAATTTTTTTTTATTAATGATGTAATTAAATTTGTGTTTAATGAATTGTACAGGCAAGGTGTATAATAAATCGAGCAAGTCGAAAAATGACAGAAGGAACGTGTATATCTCCGACAGACCAAATCTCACCAAAGTTACAATATGAGCAATTATGTAGTCAAACACAAAATGGTCTTTCCATGAAGAAATCTTTACGACAATTTCTTGAAAAGCGAAGGCATAGGATCAAAGCTACATCTCCATATTATCCATATTAGAAAAATTAATAAGCATAATAGATACTATTTAGAAGATTAAAGAAGAATGTATCTGCTAGCTGGTTTTTTTTGGCGTTCATTGACCTTTTAGAGGGTTATATTTGTATTCTTTGTAAAGTTTTGGAATTCATTTATGTAGAGCTTCCTTCCCTTGATCGAGTTTTGAGATGTGATGATGTACGACTTTTTCAGCAATTTGTTAACTCTCAGTTGATAGTATTTCTTTTCCATACTTAATCCTACAGTCCTATTACATGTTTAAAGTCAAAAAATGAACAACATCACATACAGGGTGGGTTCAATGATATTTTGAAAAAAGTTTAAAACTAATAATAAGTGCTATAAGCTCAAGATTTCCAAGCACAGCTCAGTTGGTATTAACTATTGGATTGGAGGAGATCAAAGGTTCGAGAGGGCTGGCAAACCCTGACCCGACACGAAAACCTGACCCGAACCCGACCCGAAGTTACTGAGAGAGACCTGAACCCGACCTGAACCGAACCCGAACAACCCGAATTCGACCCGATTTGACCCAAATTTCATATTTCGTAATAATATTAAGTTTTACACTATTTTTAATAGTTTCTAAGCATAACCCGAAATCGACCCGAAATCTGACCCGAACCCGACCTGTTGACCCGAATTGCCACCCCTAGCATTCCACAAAACATCACTTTTAATTTTTTTTTGGAACATTTAGTCAATTACATCGGGGCTACTAGGCCTACCCTCAAACTTTCTCTCTCTTCATTCCCATTTTCCCCCAAATTCCCAAACCTTTCCATCAACCCAGTACATAAGTTAACTTTTTGAAAATTGATAATTGCGAATTGCTAATTTTTGGATGATTGATTGTGGAGTTATAATCTTACTGGGTTATTGTAATTAATAACTAGGTTAACCCCGTGCGATGCACGGTTTTATAATAAGAATTGAATTATAGACTTTTAACACATATTGAAAGAGAATAACTATTTCCTCCGTTTTCCTAATTAATTTTTAATTAAATATGAATGTACAATTCCCCAAAAGTGCATAATTTTCATATTTAATTAGGAATTTTAATTAAATTATATTATTAACTATTGTTAACAACTTATAAATAACTAAATAGCATAATATGTGTAAATAACCTAAAAATTAAAAATTCAAATGGAATTTAATTTTCAAAAATATTGAGTTTTTAGAGTTTGAACTTAGAATGTTAGATTATTTAGAGATTTTAGTTTGATACTTGATTGATTTTGTTGTATTATCTATCTATTAACTATTACTAAAACAGAAGATGATGACATCATTACTGCCCACCGTGTCATTCTCTTATTAAAAATTTTCCCGCCTAAATGCAATGATGATGCCATCTTTTTTTTTAGAGTTATCCTATTTAACATTTTTTAAATTTAAATATTAAAATATTCTATCTTACACCTAAAAACTATCAATTTATGGTAGGAAATTGAAACAATTTTTAATAACACACTAATAAACAATCTCGTATATTGAACTATGAATTATACCGACGTCGAACAAATACTATATCATAGTTTTGATGAAAATAAAATATTTTAAATTACAAAATGTACGTAATTATTATTTATATTCACTAGTAGAAATATACAAAAAGGCAACCCCCAAATGCTACCGGTTCAGGCCAAACCGGTGACAAAAACCGGCCTAAAAATGGGCGGGATTTTAGACCAAGAGCAATGGCACCAATTCATCTCAAATCGGTGCCAAAAATACAAAGGGCACCGGTTTGAAACGGTGCCACTGAACAGGTGCAACATTCAAAAAAAAAAAAAAGGTTCATCTATACCCTAAACCCCTAATAACTTGCTTCTCTCTTCGCCTCCATTCCCCATTTCCTCTGATTTCCTTCTCTCCTCTCTCTCTCTCTCTCTCTCTCTCTCTCTCTCTCTCTCTCTCTCTCTCTCTCTCTCTCTCTCTCTCTCTCTCTCTTTTTCTTCTTTCATCTCCATCTTCTTTCATTTCCCTTCGATCTCCTCTCTCTCTCTCTCTTCGTTCTTCGCAATTCTTTCATCTCCCTTCGATCTCCTCTCTCTCTCTCTTCGTTCATCTTTCATCACCCTTCGATCTCCTCTCCCCTTAGATCTTCTTTCATCTCTGCAGCAACCAAAGCCGCCACCGCAACAACAGCCGCCACAACAACAGCCGCCACCACCACTACAAAGTTCGACCACCGCCGCAAATCCCACCGACATCAACATCAACAACAATTTCTGGGTATAATTTATACGAGGATACGGTTTAATTTATGGGTTTAATTCTATTTTAATCGATTTTGTTAGATTTAATTTAGGGTTGAAGTAATCGATTTTGGATTTTATCGATTTTTCTAGGTTTATTTAATCGATTTTAGGATTTTAATTCGATTTTTGTGGGTATAATTATTCGAATTTAATGGGTTTTGTATATTAATTTGATTTTTCTCGTTTTTTCTGGGTTGATTAATCAATTTTAATTACATGCATGTGTTTTTTGGGTTTTTTTTTTTTAATTACATGCATGTGTATTTTTTTATTCTGAGTTTACTGGGTTATTTTTTTTTTCGGGGATTTTTTTTTTCAATTTTTTTTTTATAATTTTGTGTATTCTGGGTATAATTATCCGAATTTAATCGGTTTTGTTTTTTTTTTTTCAATTTTCAGTTCGTGAATCATCGTCGGAGGAGAAAATTGATGGCCGATACTCTGCTTCTACAATTCAGCTACTGAGCTCGTCGAATCCATTTGTTTAATTTTTTTTTTTTGGCAAGTGTAAAACTACTTAATTACTGATTATGAATTTCAATTATATTATGTATTAATGTATTATGTATATATATAACATTTTGGTGATTATCAGATCTAAATTTCAATTATATTTGGTGTAGCATTTGGTGTGTTATTAATGATTATGAATTATTGGTGTTGTATTAGTTTTCTACTAATTTTTAAGTGAACAAAGACACAAAGAACAAAACAAAAAAAAAAAGGACATTTTTGGCACCGGTTAACCGGTGCCAAAAGGAGGGATAATATTTTTTTTGGGTATTTTTGGCATCGGTTAACCGGTGCCAATTTTAAGTATTGTCACCGGTTCAAACCGGTGGCTTTTTAATGCGATTATTGTTACCCCCCACATTGGCGCCGGTTCAAACCCGGTGGCATTGAGGGGTTTTGAACCGGTGCCAATTTGATTTATCCTACTAGTGATTCATGTATAATAGCAATTTCTTATTAAAAATAGGTTTTATAAAAACCGTGCATCGCACGGATTCTAAACTAGTTGATGTACTATATTAAAAACTAGACTGTTAGAATTCAATCCTTATTTATGGATAAATTAATAATCATATGGATTTTCCTTGATGTTAATGTAGACTGTGGATTTTTTTGTTTTCACCATGAGTTCAGAGTTTTTTCATGAAACTAACATGCCGGGAAACCTGCTTGAATAATACTTTTGTTACTTGTATCGAGAGAGACTTATTTTCTAGAGTTAGTGATGATGATGTGTTTTAAGATGCTAACAAGCAAAGTATGAAAACTCGAAAAGCATTATGTTTTCTTTCATTTTTTTAAGTGTAATCTATTTGTACGACAAAATTTAAAGTTATAGATTGAATCTTAATTAATATATTTTTTACTCATTTTTTTAACAACTCTGAACCCACTCTTTGGAATGTCTGGATATGCCAGTGCAACATCATTCTATCATTCATTGCTCATATTATGAATGAAGGATGGTTCTGTACTAATACAACTATTGTCTACTTGTTGGAAGAAAACTGAAGTGAATCAAACAAAAATAATCAAAAGTACTCTGTAACACGAGATTATGGTTGGTTTAAACAGAACTAAAAACGAGACTATGGTTGGTTTAAACAGAACTAAAAACGCAATCAGAAATATTTTAATTATATATTTGTATGATATTTGTATTTGCTAAAATTACTTTTACTAACTTAACCTTCCACCATAATCTTCTATAAATGATGATATTGTATATTTGTATGATATTTGTACTTGCTAAAATTACTTAACCTTCCACCAATAATCTTCTACAAATGATAATATTGTAGAAAAGTCCAGGAATGTACAAGCTTCACATTCACAGAAATCACTATATAAATAAAAAAAATTATAGACAGTAAATATAGCATATGACTTGATATTTGGTTTGCCAAAAGATATTGATGAAAAGAATTAGATCAAGGGATGAGCATAGAAGACACTGCAAATTACAAGGGAGATGGACTTCTTGAGTTATATCCAACCCAGTAAAAACTTGATAAGTGAGGAAGATTTTTAACCCTTTTGAGTTGTATAAGCCTTTTCAGTTGTATCATTGTGAAAATAAATATTTCACACTCTATGTAATCATGGTAATTAATCTTAAGCAATCAAGTGATGCTAGTGCAACGAAATCAGAAATTGTTTGTTGAGATGAACAATACAAGAGGGAGGGGGGGTGAATTGTATGTGAGTTTCTATAGTTACTTTTTGCGGAATATAAATAAAATGTCAAGGAACTTGCAATGCACACAGATTTAACGAGGAATCATTCCAAGACCCAACTGGAAGTAAAACCTCGACCCTTCTAAACGATTTCCAAAACCAAATCACTTCACTATAATAGGGCAATCACAAATTACAACCTGTTATTATATACACAGACCTTTACTCACAAGTTCTACACTGAACTTGCTACACAGTAGGACCCTATCCTACCCAATCTGAGTCCCAAACTTAGATTCACTCACACACTCACCCAAGAACCCAACCAATACAAAATATATGACACTAGTATATGATAGGCAAGCTATGCACAAAACCCGAAACTAATATGACAAAGTTATAAGATTGGCAAACTTACACAATTAAAGCACGAATGATTTCTTCAAGCATAAATTCACAAAAGAACTATGAAATGAGATATCTACTATTTATACAAGACTAGTTTGTATAGAAAGTAGGGTTTTCAAAAGATAATTATGTTAAATTAACTAAATCTCAAAATGCGATTTTAAGTAAATCATTTTCAAAGAATATCTTTTCGGAAAACAAGATAAAGAAAGATTATCAAAAAGAACAATATCTTTTCGACATTCAGTTTTTAAGAAATAAATCATTTAGAAAATATTTTCTTAAAATCTA